AACCTTTAATATGATACAAGCCGTCTCCTACCGTCTGTCGCACGAATTTCCACATTATTGAAAAAATTGTTGCTTTTTTGCAGGCGAAACTCCATTATCTAGATATAATCGCTAGTTTACCAAGCTACGGCGCCAAATGTTTCAGCACAAACCAAAGAGAGGGCATGGAACGCGTTCTACTCGTGAGTCCACGCTTCGGCCTAAGTCAAATATCCAGTGCCAGGAATTCGGTGGTCAGTCAACTCTACATCTATAATGTCGGCAATTGATAAGCTAGCTTTTTGTTTTTGCCACAGCCACAGCCCATATCGGCCATAGAGGACTTTACGCATGTGGTGGTGCATCGCGAGGACGACATCACCTGCAGCGTATCCATTTACATGCTGGGCGATCGCGCTGTCAAGTTTATTATGGAGGATCGCGATGCCTGCGAATTTAGTCTGGTGCTGGGCGGCTACTATCGCCTGCTCACAGGTAAGACAACGCATTGGACCAAAACGGATGACAGCTCAATGTGGATTCTCTTACAGGAAACATTTTGAATGTGCTGCGTGAGCGCGAACCGCATGAGGAGGACAATGCGCCCGCCTTCTTGTCACAGCACACCGTGCTGCCCGCTAGCTGGAGCTATCTGTTGCCCTTCCATACCCGTGCGCATAGCGTCAACTTTCTGATAACGCCGCCATATCATCCCATGCCGCATCAGGCGGTGCTGTCACAGCAACAGCCCGCACAGCAGTTGTCCTCCCAGCCGCAGGCGCTGCCCTATGCAACGGACTTGGATCTGCACAGTGTAATGGCCACCGAGCTGCTGGAGGAGGCGGCCAAGGACTCAGGCCTGAGCGACAGCAGCGGCAGCAACTATTGCAGCGAGGGACGCAGTCTGCTTGCCGTCGAAGCCAAGAACGAGCAGGTGCTACGGCGGGTGCAGGAGCTACAGCAGCTCGTCCAATGCTCCGAGCAGTATCTGAACGAGCAAGAACAAGAACTGCAGAAAATGCCCATACCGCCGCAGCAGCAACAACAGCTGGGCCATGGCGTGGCCATGCTAGAATTTGACAGCGACTGCGACAGCCTAAACAGCAGCAAAGTGTCCTCCACGGAGGAAACAAACATCAACCAAACTGGCGGCGTTGGCACGCCCTCGCTCAAGCACAGCGACTCGCTGACCCTGCTGGCGGAGACGATTAGCCATGAGCTGACCGGCATTACGCAGGGACTGAATTCCATTCCGGAGCCGGTGTCTGCATCGGCACCGCCCACGCCCGCCACACCAAAGCGCAAGCCCAGCCTATGCAGCACCTCCAGTCCACGACCACAGCGCAAACTGAACGGCTTTAGTCAGTTGCTCAGCGATCTGCAGGCGCTAGGCACAGATTTGTCGCAGAGCGAGAGCGATTCGGAGTCGGTGGCCTCGCCAGCGCAATCGCCAACGACTCGGCGGCCACAACAGCTGCTCCAGGCAGGCATCAAGCAGCAGCTGGCGCAGCGCAGCAGCTTCGGGCTGCACAGTCCCGATGGCAGTCACTTTGGTGCCGAGACAAAGGACTACAATTTGCGCGAGTATCTGCAACAGCTCAAGGAGATAAGCAATGTGCCCGCCGCGGACACTGATGTGGCCGCTCGCCAGCTATCCGAGATATATGGCTTTGAGGTGCGTGAGGATACGTTCATCGAGACGGATACGGATTTAATTGATTTGCGTGCCATTCCGCCGCCCCAGACGCCCGACGAACTGGACTCGCTATCCCTGCTCAATGCGGCGCCACCGAAGGGCTTTGAGGGCAGGGCCGAGGAGCTGGATAGTTTTCTGCAGCAGATGCTGGTGGCGCCGCCCACACAAAAAGCCACGCCCGCCAAAGAGCTGACGCCCGAGGAGATTATGTCCTTCATAATACCGCCGCCACCAAATCTAGAGACGCAGCCCGAGGCAGAATGCCTGTACAGTAACTCGGTGCAAGCCAAACGCGATTTTTTCCAGGCTGCGGCCAATGGCAACAACAGCAACCACAAGGACCTGACAACACCGCACGTCATTGAGTATCCCACCGTGGAGCGCAAGAGTAAATTCAGCTGCTGTCCAACATCCAAGAAGGAGGATGCAGCCCCAATCGAGGAGCCGTTACAGCCATTGCAGCCACCACCGCGCACCCCCACCACGGAACAAATGACTTCGCCGCCGGTGCGTCCCCCCAAAAGCGCCGAGCTGCTACAGCGCTACTCACCCAAAAAGCAGGTGCGCATCGTTGGACCGGTAAGTGTGCCATTGCGTGAGCTGTGCCCCCCACAGCTTCCTCCACGCAGCAGTCCCACAACCAGCTCGGAGCCGGCTACGCCGCAGACAGCGATACCAAATACAATAGCAGCCACATCAGCGGTGAGTGCGCCCAAGAAACCCCCGCTGCCGCCCATTGCCAGTCGCCCACGTCCCGTAAATGGCACGCCCATACCCGCCAGCACAACAACTCCGCCAATACCGGCCACAGCCCGCCTACCCAATGCGCATTCCAACGGACAGCCGGCGCTGCCAAAGAAGCCCCAGCAACTGCATGGCGAGAAACTGTTCATCAAGAACGGCCACCTTATCGACGGCGAGGCGCTGCTGGCCAAAACCGATGTGGCCATGGCCGGCCTGCTCATCAAACTGGATCAGGTGGCCGCCCAATGCTCGGCCGCACAGTCTGCTGGCGGCGGCACAAGCATCGATGAAGATAAATTCCAGCGTGCACGCAACGAGCTAACTGAACAGACACTGGCCCTAGTCACGGCCAGCAAGTTTCTGGTTGCCTCCATGTCCGACATGACGCTGATAACGCTGCCCGATCACCTGACCTCCTGCCTGACGGCCATCCGGCGCATCACGGAGCTGGCTCAGGACATGACACGGCACACATCGGCGCCCCTGCAGACGCGCAACATTGTGCTCAAGGTGCACGATGTGGCAAGCAGTTTCCGCGAGCTGGTCAGCGTACAGATTGGACCCATTGGTGCTGGTCAGCTGGCGCTGCAAGCGGAATGCCTGGCCAATGTCCTGGCCACGCTGCTGCGCAGCCTGCGCGTCTTTTCGCCCTAGATGCAAGCAACACACCACGATCCTAACCAACAGCATGAACACGAAAACACATGCACACAGCATATCGATCGCCCGTATATATACACAACTATCTAACTAATTAATAAATCGATAAATATCCCATAAACATACTTATGCAAGTATCTGCAACTATTTTACAGGTAAACAGCAACGTCAGAGAGTCGTTGGTCTGAACATAGGCTAGCAATTGATACGTAAACAGCACTAGCGGAAACTCGAACATAACCAAATCTATATATCGTGTTCAGATGCTTCAGATATGCAAACATATATATATATAACCAAACTCAGCCATTTAGCAAGAATTTACGTTTTCTTGATTGAATCCTATCAGCTACTTAGCAGGTGTCATATTTTATTTTGTAAATTAACAACTTTAAGCTTTTGATAATCTTATTTATAAGTTTACCAAGAGATGCGAGAATAAGTTTTTCTGTGAAATGCTCATTTCGAAGTTTTCTTTTAATATGCTTGAAGCTGGGCAAACTTTGTATATCATATAGTCTACATCTGAACACGATCTTAACATATATGATAATTAATATATAAAGTTAAATAGTTAAACTTCACATCTAACTGCATGCAACTAACTCGAATTTCTATGTTATCTCTAAAAAGTAATAATCAATTTCCAAAAACTCAAACTTTTTAACAATGTATGTGTCTCTCTAACTGTTACTAACGATAAACCAATTTAAGTAAACATCATGACTTGAGTGTAGACCAATTTATATATGTATACTAAAAAAAAAAAAAAAAAAAACTTTTAAAAAAACTTTACAAAATATGTTAATTTTTAAATTACGGCATTAACATATTTTCTTATGTATGCAATGCATACATAAATAAATACATACAATTTACAAACATTTCATATACATACATATTATATATACATATGTCTAACAAACAAACAAAAAAACAAAAATCGACCAAACAATAATCAAAATTTTAACTTGTGATATAAAAAAAATGAATTAGTGAAAATCCTATTCTTTGTATTTGTTCAAACCATTTTTTTTTTCAAACAATACTTTGTTAATAATACATCATAATTTTTGTTATTGTTTATGTCATTTTTGTTGTAGTGTCTTTAATTGAAGTACAAGAATGCGCACTAAGTTGTAGCTTTAACTAATATATAATCGTCTATTGTTTATTATTAAAGCAATAATAATTATTAATCAAATAGAAGAATATAAAAATCATTGAGTAGTGCTTATCCAAACTAAAATGGTTTTGTTTCTATTTTGTTTTTAGGTTTGTTAAACATATAATAAACATAACCATTTGAATAAGAAATACGTACACATATACAAATATAACTACAAGTAATAATACATATTAAGTATATACATATATTGAAAAATGTACAATGTAAAACATATAACTGTTTATGTATATCATGCAAAAGTATAACGTTTAAAATAAATTCAATAAACATACCAAAGGCACAATACCTCTATTACTAGAGCGCCACAAGCTCGCATCAGCCGATGAAAACTGGGAACAGTTTCATTCAAATGTTGTTGCCAAAGGAACAGAGCTGTTAAACGGGACGAATGAATGCATTTAAAACACTCTGCAATCGATCTGTGTGTGTTTCAGTAATCTTAACAGAGCACTTGATATTATTACATTAAAAGTGTTGTTAAGTCAAGGTTAACGGACATGCGCTGTTATTCCGAATATACGAATACTTATTGATTGATATCGATAGGTAATCGATCATCGCTAGACCAACAGACGAGACAGCTCGGCGGCAGGCCAAACATTCGCGCGGATTTTAATTCTGTTGCACACAACGTTACATTCAGTACATAAGTAAAACGCGCAGAGCAGACAGCTTGGCGCCCGCGTTGTTTCTTGTGAGTTTTTGGCGCAAAAATTCATAAAGCTTTTAAAAATGAATTTGAATGTGGTAAACGCCGAAGATCAACAGCTATACAATAACTTGCAGCTATTAAATTCGCAACTATGCTCATTGGTGGATGACAAAGAGTCGCGTCCCGTACAGTTAACGAACTGCAAGAGAAGCGGCGCTGGAAGCGTCTTGCAAGAACTCAATCAAGTGGTATGCGACTTGACATTAGATTCGAATGCGCCACAATTTGAGTTTCACGGATTTGGATGCGTTCAGTCTTTGGGTATGCCCAAGCGTCTGCTCTACTCAAACGACGGCACCGTCAAAAAGGAGCCGAAATCAAACGCGGAATGCAGCGTTCAAGGTCATTTTGGTGCGCGCCAAAACAAAAGGCAAGCGCAGAAGGAGAACTTGGGCCATCAGGAGGAGTGTGGCGCACTTGCCATCGAGCAATCTGTTGAGCTGTTGGGCAATTGGTGAGTGCTGCAGTGTGTGTGCGTGTATGCAAGATATAATTCCCAATAGCGATGGAATTAATATTTACCTTTACAGCAACGAACGTAATCTTCTGCTGCGTTTGATGGATTTATTTAAGTCGATGCATGAGCACATTAATTCAGAATTACCAAGTCATCAGCTAAACTCGATGCCATCCGATTATGTTTTCGACTTGCCCACAAAGCAATCAATGCCCAAAGGCTACAATATACGCCATCAAGTACAGGTGCTGTGCACCAAATTGGAGCGCTTTATTGCACGCCAGCGTCGCATCCTGGAGACCAATCGCCACTTTGACTACACCAAGTATACTGAATGTGATGGGCTACTCAATAGCGCCTCGGATGGGCATCAGGCTCTCAAGCAGTTCACAAATGTGGATCTGCGTCAACGCAATTTTCAGTTCATCAGCCGTTTGGCTAATGGTAAGGTCCTCTTCAGACATGAAGATTTGTATATGGATTAAGTTCTTACATTGTAGACAATGCTGTTCTGCTGGAAATGCTGCTGCTTAATCTGCGCGAACGTATCAAATCTGCTCATATTCACGTATACGTTTTTAATTGGGAAATGGATATTGAGCATCGTTATTCTGCGTCCATGACAGCTCGTCTCGAGGAGACGAATAATAGAGCTTTGGCATTGGCTGTTGCTGACATTCTGGCAAGTCAGCCACGTCAATTTAGCTTTGAGGAACAGCTAATTGCTAAACACTATCAGCTGGATAACGTTGTCAGCTGCGCCAAGGAAAACGAGGACTTTCTAACAGCACTGCTGCAATCGCCCGAGAACTACTTTCCACCAGAGATCATTGCCTTGTGCGAGCCTCCCAAGAATGTCAGCAAGCTGACGCCAATAGCACCTGTCTCTGCCTATGATGCTGTAGATAGTTTGGAGCATTTAGTCTTAGGTGGCGATATTCTCGAAGTGGCGCCATCATCACCGCCAAGAGTCAGTCATCGCTCCCATATCCCAAAGTGTAACAGAGGTTAGAGCTTTGAGGGATTGAGACTCATTTTTAAAATTACCTAATCAAAACTCACGAATAGACAGCTAAGGTCTAATATATAAAGAAAATACAAATAATTGATAGACCTTTTAAAAGACTAATGGATTGCATCATTATTTATAATTATCATTGAAAATTATCTACAACTTATTGGAAAATTTATACATGAGAAATGTAAATGTACTATTAACCAAAAGAAAATATCTTGCATTGAAGAAAATTTGTTATTTTAAAAAGAAATAATTATACATAATTTTCTCATTTTGAACATATTTACAGAAACTGTTTAATGTTATACATTAAGATTTTATTTTGACTTAAAACGGCTCATTTATAATTGTAGTTATTAAAAGTCGTATGAACATTATTAATTTTTGCCAGCAAAACAAGAAGAAAATGTAATTAGATTTAATAATCTATTCAGCTGCATCTTTGTAATCTTTTATATCAATTAAAACGCTGCTATAGTTCAGTCAATCCAGTTTTAATAGAAATACAACTTGCTCATTTTACTGTTTGATAAAAATAAATTTAATTTAGCTCAAAAAAGAAATGCAGACTACTGTCTAAGCTTACAGATCTGAGAAGAGCTGCTCGAGCGGCAGTTTACCAATGGTTTTATTCAGAACAGCTTTCAAGATCAGACCCATAGCGCCGGATATATCTGACTTAAGTTCATTAAATACCTCACGCCAGTTTTCGTTAATGAGCGCATGCAAGTTTTCGCTTAGTTCCTTCTGGCCGTTAAATAACCCGTCAAGTTTGTAGGTAACACGCGATGGCTCCAACTTCATCTTAACTTCGGTGACCTCCGCATATGTCTGGTGAGGACCCTTGGACACGGTTGACAATTTCACGACAGCATGCACCTGACAATTTTCTATGATTTCCAAAGATAGTATCAAATATTATTTTGATAATTATGACATTATTATGTGCATACCGAGGACAATTTGAGCATTGCCTTTTCCGACAACGGGCAATATCAATACCCTGCCCTCTACGCTGTATGGGCCCTTAAGCGTTACTTTGGGGGAAACCATATCAAAAACAATGGGACGACTAAGATCGTTGGTGAAGGCGCTAAGAGAACGGATATAAATTATTTATAAATTCAGCTGAAATTGATTCAAATGAAAAGAAATCGATATAGTTATATATACAACATTATATTCAACTTACGATACCCGTTGGACTTGCGCTTCACTGAGGCCGATCAAATCAGCGTTGGAAAAGCTGAGATCAATGCTAACCGGACTATTTGGATTCTTGCCAAGGCTTAACTTTTTAATCCGTAGCGGATCCAGTTGGACTAGACCTAGCTCTTTGCTGCCTGTCGCAGCATAATTCCTGATCACATAGTTCATGCCATCTAATAGACACCTTTCATCCGCAATCGTGCATTTTTGTATGTCAGCGGCTGGAAGCACAGAACAAAAACATATTTTGTAGCTTAAATAAAAATTGGTATACCAGCAAAATATATTTATTAGTTATGACATACGAAGATCGGGGACGTATCCAGTTGAGTATTTATTCAAACACCCTAACACCAATAGCGAAATAACTAATTTATAATATTCCATTTTGAGGTAATTTTTAATATGCTTGCTTAGCCGCCTTCGGAAATTAACTGATGAACTTACCTCCAGATGAGTCCACTTTTATAGGGTTTGTTTCTCGAGAACACGCTTTAAAACATTTATTATACTGCGTTATTTAAATTTGATCTGAGCTTATTATTCCACCGTTGTTAAACACAAACTAATTTTCGTCTCGTTTTGGCATTAACTTTCCGTGCTCCTGCACTTAGGCAAATAATGGGAATACACTTTTTTATACCCTATAGCAAAAGTACGAGCGATAAGATATAGTTGTATATCGATCAGGCCTTGCAACTTTATCTTTCCTATTTCTGTTTTGAATATGCTTATGCTTAACGAATTTATGAGCATCAAAAACTAACAATTCTTAATATATAAACTCTGTTTCACAAATGTTCTGCTAATTTGAGAATAGAATAGATTTAGATTTCCAGAAATTACTACAGAGTATCATTAGATTAGGCTTTTTTTATGCTACTTGGCTTAAAACTAAGCGTGTGAGTTGGAAAAATAGTTTTCATAAAGTTTTCAATATGCCCTTTGCACTGAAGTTGTTGTTAATCCGAAACAAAGTGTTACTTTGTTTCTGGTCTATTGCACTTGCTTGAATTAACGAGAATATTTACCACGTTTGACTAATATATTTTTATTGCCTTTTTATGATTTTAATCAAAGGCTCGAATCAGCTTTGAACTGGTTTACCAAAGAGTTAAAGCACCATAAAAACGACTATTTAAATCTTTCTTTTAAATTAGAATATGAAACGTCTTGGCTTAGGAGCAAAATTAACTAGCATGAAGTGTATGTACTCTTCGGCATACTGTTGGGAACTCCCTTCGCCTTTAACCTATTTAAGAGATCTTAATTGACTGCAGCTTGTAAACTGTAGCGATTTTATTACTGAATTCCTTGTTTCCAGTTGACAAAGCATTCTCGTGTACTGGGGCTATGCTAGGTTTCAGAATCAAAATGTACAAGATCAAGGCATTCCCGAGTCGACTTTATATTCTTGATGAGTCAGTAAGTAGCCGAGTCGATGCAATCTTTTTCGTCTGTCAGAGACTATTCAATCTAGTTACACCAGGTTTGATTTGTAAGTTCTCATTTATATGTGCTGACAGATGTTAGCCAGCCTTATCCATGCCAACTTTCTTCAAATCTAAGCAGCTTTTTAGCTTATGCAAATTTATGAATCTTAAAAGTGATTTATATAGATATGTGCAGGTTAGCTTGAAGTGGATTGAATTAGGACAACAACCGCTTTTCCACCAATTGTCCACATTTGAGGAAAGAGTAAGAAAGAAATACATCAGTAAAAGTAACGACTGTTACAAAAATAAACCAACTTTAAATGTAATATATCTTCTTCCGCAAAACTCGCCGCTTTTTTATGACACTTCTTTTTAAAAGTATACAGCATAGTTTTGGGCTGCATTTAATTTCCCGATATTTAAATCCGCCACAGAAATAGACAACAGGAATGAAAATAGTCCAATAAGAAAATAAATTAAATGTGAATCCAATACTTTCAAGCGTTTACTAATCACGATCTCTCAATTGGTTTATTTAGGTTATATTTTACGGGGTTAAGTATTGTCGGCTAATAAATCAGTGAATTAATGAATCAAACAACTGAATTAGCGATTGTATTAGTTTTCTCTTATATATCTTAGTTTTATGAGCAGTGCTGAAATTTCAGCTGTTTTCTAGCTAGATTTGGTTAGCCTTGGAGACTGTATTCTGGCTGATCTAAAGAGCTTTTATTTAAGTTATGTCGAAAACTTTTTGGTATTTATTTAATTTAGGCAGAAGCTTCGGGATACCTGCCTGAATGGATTATTTAGAGTTCAAGCATTGCACGAAAATAGATGATTTTGTAGCTATTTCAAGTGTAAACGCAAAATAATTTGTACAAACAAGCCTTGTACCTTTCCAAATGCTTCAAAGAAAACTCCGTAGAATTAGGCAGCCTTCCGCATTTCGAAACCCAATGGACTACCTTGCCAACTAATTTTTTGCGGTAATTGGCAGCACTTCTTATCAGTGCTGCCAGTTAACATTTTTTTACAAATATGTTTAGCTTTCTTCCACGCACATGCAAAAAGTTAAATTGAAATTATCTTGGAGCTATGAACTGAGCATCAGTTAATATGTATATAATTTATTTTTATAATACTTAACAGATATCTAAGCCAACGAAAGCAAGTTAATTTTTTAAGCTTCTTCAGAAACCAGCAGCAGAAAACTAGCTAATTTGCTTATTTAAAGCCGTCAGCACTAGCCTTTGCCAGTAATAATAATGATGCGGCGATAACTCACCAGACGCTGATAATTGCAATTAATTAATTCCTGAGTTACTTATCTGCGATTCGATGAATTAATATTTATTTTCCTCTTTCCAATGAATGAATCCAAGATTATCAAGTATATATCACTGCTAGGTCAACAATTGCCGCCGAGTAATTAAATATTAGTGGATTGCTGTAATTATTCTAGTAATCGTTTGTCAACGGGATGATTTATTTTAACATTTATCTATTTAAAATGCCGCAGGCTAGGTCTTATCGATTTTATAAAACAGAACAACTAACATAGGCACTAAAATGGCATTCATTCCTCAAAGAACTTAGCGTAAGGATACTTTGAGAAGACGCTTGTGATAATTGTTCGAAATATTTCCGCGAATGCGGATTGCATCGACTGACGCACCTCCAAAAATATGGCTTCCCAGTTATCGTTGAGAAACGCGTTCATATTGTCACCCAGGGCCTTATCACCGTTGTACAGATTACTGAAGTGGTAATACAAACGCTCGGGCTTGGTCGTAAGTCTCAGATTGGCTATATCCATATAGGTCTCGCCATTCTTCTCAAGTGGCTTGCCCGTAAAGCTTAACGCAATATCACAGTTGACTAATGAGAACATTAATTGATATTTGTCTATTCTGTTTCGGTTATAATAAAACTCACCCAATGTCAAGTTGCTCAAGCCATCGCCGTTAATGGGTAGTATGAGGACTTTGCCCTTGATTATGTAGGGTCCCACCAGGGATACTTTTTCCGCAATTAATAGCAGTTCGTGTTTTTGAGTCATATCCTTACCGAAACCTCTGCATTTGAAATAATGAGATGCTAGTAAACTGGATTTCATCTCATTCTTACTTGACTTCACGGATCTTCATTGTGCTTATACCGTGGACTTTGTTATCCCTAAACGTTAAATCAATGTTGACTGGACTGTCCTCGCCCTGTTTAACGTTCGTCGTGGGCACTGGCAGAGGATCAAGTTTCATCAAATTGAAATCAGGAGCGCCTTTCGTTGCCTTCTCGCTGATCAGCTCGTTGATCAGCTTCACGATGCACCTGGAACCCCCATATTTACAAGGTTTGGGATCATCAGCTACAGATTGGTAAAATGAACAAGGGATCATTTAGGATTCACGATCCTTGCTTACGGAAATCGGCTCTCACAGCGAGAACTGTACAAAGTACGACGATTAAAACAACTTGCGACATTTTCACGATGCAATATAAATTAAAGACGTATTCAAATGAATGTACTGAAACAACTAAGTTATTGCTCGAGTGTTTCTTAGCTTTTATACTAGTAGGATAACTAAGTCAATTGAGCCACATTAACAAAATTAGATGCTTTGAGCATTAGGAATAACCTACCCCGTAAACAAATAGAACCTGTTTTAATCATATATTATATAAGCACATATAGTACTCGTATTTGGTCTTTGGATTAATTTACTAGCACTTAATTTTTATTGACAGTCTAGTAAAAAATAGTAGCACTATTTAATGGGTCCATTTAATTTAATTTTTGTTTTAATTTACCAGCAATTTCCCGGCCTTGCCCGTGCCAGGTTTTATGCCTTACATTTTATATAAACCTTTACAATTCTCGGCGAAGTACAATTTAAATCTACTGATACTATCCCGAACTCCAGCTATAAAATTAAATTTTTCATAGATATTTAATAATATGTTTGAACTCCATCGTATAAGGAATCGAAAGTTGGAATAAACGATTTCTGCCCATTTTATTCTAATAAGAATCTTGAAGCCAAAATATAAATTTAATTCATTAAACCTTTGACCCACAATTCCATCCAAGAGCGACGGATTTTGAAAAAAATAAACGTATTTATTTGACAAAGATCTTTGAAATGAGTGCAAAGACGATCCGATGGTAAGCAAAATTGTGGAAATTCCCAAAATCGCGTAAAAACGTAATTATTAAAAAATTATTCAAAAGATCGTTAATTCGCATTTTGCACCGAATAGGTATGTACTCTGTGCTCTTGTACTCTTTAAAAAACCTTGTAAATTAATTTGAACCAGAATACTTACGCACAAAACCTTTGACCGACATTTCCAGCAAGGAAGAATGAATTTTACAAAAAAGTGTGGAACACCCCTCAAGTTATTTTGAACAAAGATCTTTGATAATGAGTTTAAGGCCGATCGGATGGTAAACAAAAAAGTTGCATACAAACTTTTGTCAGAATATTCCATTCTTGGGGGTGAGATTTTCCAACAGTTTCAGGAATCATTTAGTAAAGTAGGAGTTCAAAATATTTCTGATGAATTTTATCTAGTTTTAATAATTTTAGACTTCCCCGTGCCTTGGGAAGGAACTTAATGCTGCCTTTATCGTTGTTATGGGTTCCAGAAAAACAGAAGATGGATCAATTCCGTGCGGCATCACAATTTACCAATTATGGTCTAGGTGAGTCGGGGCAAACTACTCTCGTGTACCGCTTTAATTCTTTAATTGAATCTAATTGATGTGTTTACAGCACCCAGTTGCCAATTCAATAATTATTGCAGGAGTTTTTCTAACATCATATTAATTTCAGTTGGCAAGTAGCGGTCTACATCGGAGGTTCTGGAAAGAGTGCAATCGGTAAAAAATATATTCGTATATATCACTTTTGGATTATATTTAAATATTTCTGATAACTTTTGCAACCATCTATAAGCTAAAAACACAAAGGTAGTCAGTTCAATAATTCGTAATACTGTGAGTGTTATTTATTATTTCTGCACTTGTTTTATTAAACGAGAATATTTATTTATACTTAACGACTATTTTTGTACACTGCACCCATTGAAGAAGAGTAAAAAGGGTAAATTGAAGTAAATTCTGAACAAAATAATGAGTATATATAGGAAGTATATACATATATTCTAACTCAGCATTAATAGCCGATCGACCTGTACATGTCCGTATTTCTGTCTGTCCGTCTGTCCGTCCATATGTTTGTACACGACGATCTCAAATTATCGATAACTTGCCCTGTTTTCTTAAAATCGATAAGAATCGATATCAAAAGCCTGTTTTTTTTTTTAATATCTACTTAGTCTACTTAGCAAAGCAAGTGTCTCTAACATTTATAATCTCCGAGATAAATAATGAGTTAATAAATTATTAAATAATAATAAATACGAATGCCCAAGATTATAAATCTAAAAGTGATTTTTTTTCAACTTGGAGAACGGAGAAGGTATCCAAATAGTGAAATATTATGGATCTATATATATATACGTTTAAATGTTTAAATGTTTGGCATATATATGCCAGCATGTTTGGTATTCGGACCCTCCCGACTAGGTCACTCTTTATTGTTAAATTCCTTTTCACAATTATAGTTAAAGGATCGAATCTGATTTATCCAAGCGTTAGGCCACCATAAAAATTTTGCATTCAAAATAGAATACGAAGCGTTAGCGACTACTTGGGGAAGGGCTAGGATCTAGAATCAAAATGTATAAAAGGTATAATTCGAATTTAGTCCAACTTATTTGTGTATCTAAGCATTTTGTGAGAAGCTTAAATTTAAAAATTCACAGCATTATTTCGGGCGGCATTTAGTATTTTCTATTCTTAAATCAGGTACCACAAAAATAGGCAACAGAAATTTAAAAAGCTCGATAAAAGTATAAATAAAATGATTAAAATTATGCAATACTATTAAACGCTGTCTACTTCACTATTTTAAATGCTAGACTTTCCACGATATCTGAATGATTCACGCTTACCCCTGGTCTTGATATGTCGATTATATTATTTAGATTATAATTCAAAAAATATTATAAATATAATCTTTAACATAAGCTGAATAGCAAGCGGCTTGCGACGATTTATTTCGCGTCATTTTATATGCATGAATTTAGAACATCTCAAGTAGAGAATACTTGAAATTTATTTAAAATAACCTTTGTAAATTATTTTGGTTGACAGACAGGCGATTAGGTTAAAAAAAAATCTGGATTGTCTTAGAGGCTGATTTAGGAAAATACGTCGAGTGTTCTCAAATATGTATGGCGTTTTCTAGATACATCACTTCCAATTATTTTGGAATACTTTGGAACGGTTAAGACAAGATTAAGCGTCATTAAAAATATATTTAATTCAAAAATAACTAGTAAGAGGTGCTAGTCGGGAGCTACCGACTAGGGGATACCCTGAACCCTCTTCTTCCAACATCAAATGCATATATATATTCTATTTGAGATATACCCTTATACCCATTTTTAAAAGTTCAGGGTATAAAAAGTTAGTCAACCTCTAAAACAATAATATATAGATACTTTTAAAGCTGTTTAAAAAATCAACATCGATTTTCCAGTTAAAACTAGCTATTTTTGGCTCTCAAAAGCTAGCAGCACTGAACATAACTGCATATATAGACAATACCAGGGTGGAACTACAGCTCAATTAGTGAATCGTTCAGTTGAGTTAATAACCATAATTCAAATGGCGATAAATGATAATTGCAACTAATTAATTAACGAGTTGTTTACCTGCAATTTGATTAAATATTTATTTTCAACTTTCTAATGAATGAATCTAAGGCTGCCAATTATATTTCACAGCTAGGTCAACAATTGTCGCCGAGTAATTCAATGTTAGCGGATCGTTGTAATTCAATAGTAAACCCTTTTTAACGGGCGAATTTATTGTTTTATTAAAATGCTCTTTATTTAAATATATAAAAAAAAAAGGGAATAACAAAATAGGCAATAGAATGGCATTCATTCCTCAAAGAACTTTGCGTAAGGATACTTTGAGAAGACATCCGTAATAATTGTTTGGAATATACCCGCGAATGCTAATTCCATCGACTGTTTCACCTCCAAAAATATGGCTTCCCAGTTATCGTTGAGGAACGCGTTCATATTGTCACCCAGGGCCTTATCGCCATTGAACAGATTGGTGAAGTAGTAATACATGCGGTCGGGCTTAGTTGTAATTTTCAGATTGGATGCCTCCATGTAGGTCTCGCCATTCTTCTCAAATGGTTTGCCCGTAAAGCTTAACACAATATCACAATTGACTAATGAGAACATTAATTGATATTTGTCTGTTGTATTTCGTTTATAATGAAGCTTACCCAATGTCATGTTGCTCTTACCAGTACCGCTAATGGGTAGTATGAGGACCTTGCCCTTGATGTTGTAGGGTCCTACCAGGGATAGCTTACCCGCATTGAACAGAATTTCGTGTTTTTTGGCAATATCCTTACCGAAACCTCTGCGTTCAAAATAATGCATTGCTGTTTACTTGGATTTCATAAGTTCTATGATTTCGTTTTCAGCTTACTTGACTTTACGGAACTTCATTGTGCTTATACCGAGAAGTTGGTTATCCTTAAACGTTAAATCAATGTTGACTGGACTTTCCGCTCCCTGTTTTATGTTCATCTTGGCCACTGGCAGAGGATCAAGTTTCACCAAATTAAAATCACGGTCGCCCTGCATTGCCTTTTCCCTGATCAAATAGTTAATCATCTTCACGATGCACCCGGAATCCCCATATTTACAAGGCTTGGGATCAGCAGCTATGGATTGGTAAAATTAAGAAGGGATCATTTAGGATTAATGATCCTTGCTTACGGAACTCGGCTTGCACCGCGAGAACTGAACAGAGTACGACGATGAAAATAATTCGCGACATTTTCACAAGGCAATCTAATTTGTAAAGTTACTCAAATGAAATCACCGCAGCAACTAAATTATTTCTCGGGTGTTTCTTAGCTTTTATACTAGTGGAGTGCCTAAGTCAATTGTAGCACATTAACCGAAACATATTACACAACATGTTATAATATGAAATACACTAAGCATCTCGTATGTCTCCAGTTATTCCAACCCTGTAAACAAATATAACCTGTTTCAATCATAGTGATTATATAGTTTTCGTATTTGGAGCTGTTAAGGGCGATCTAAAGATTAATTTACTAACATTAAGCCTTATTGACAGCCATGGTAGTATCAGCATTTTAATGAATGCTCTCATTTCATATCAAAAACACACTTAGAGAAAAGAATGAGTCAATTTGATACGAGTTGTAGCTTAGAGCTCTCCAAATCATAGAATAGTACCCCGAAGTTTCAGACATTATTTCATATCGATTTAGATATTTTATTTAAACGAAAGAAATATCCAAATTTAGTAAGGACCAGACCAATTAAATATAACCAAAATAAAGGGCTTTGGTATAATTTTGCTTATATTTAAATCTAATATTAGAAGTTAAAAATTCATCTCCCAGTGTACTCTTACACACTGTACTCTAATGCCTTAATTATTTAATTAGATATAATTGATGTATTAAAAGCACGAGGCTTGTCAGTGTTTTAAGGAGCTTCTCTAACATCGCACTGATATTAGTCAAGAAATTGCAGTCAACATCGAAGGTTCGTCAAATATATTTCCTTATTACTTGTAATAATACTTTATAAAATATAAATATTTCCGATTTATTTTGCTACTGTTTATAAAAGATAGAAGAAGAAGATAGCAGAATTGAAGAAACTCTTGGTAAAAACCTCTAAATGCTCTGACTTAGAAATTAAGGTGTAAAGTTAATCGTGCTGGCAAAAGTCCAGCAAGATGAATAGCTCAAAGTACTTGTAAATTGTAAATTGTGACCAAACAGCGAACAACAAGAACCAAACTCACTTTTTTATGTACAACATACTGTCTGGCAATCAAACAAACACTTCCCATTTTGTGTGTATATCATCCCGACATAAAACTAAAACGAGTTTCGCATTAAGTAGCCAACAGCATGACGGTGCAACTTTTTTGGGGGGGGGGAGTCCCCTTCTGGTAATGGAAATGATCTCAAAAAAATAGCTTCTTTTTATACCCTTGCAGAGGGTATTATAATTTTGTCGTGAAATGTGTAACGCATAGAAGGAAAAATCTCCGACCCCATAAAGTATATATATTCTTGATCAGCATCAACAGCCGAGTCGATATAGCTATGTCCGTCTGTCCGTCTGACCGTCTGTTCGTCTGTCTGCTTTTATGCGAACAAGTCCCTCAGTTTTAAAGCTATCTTAATTAAACTTTGCAGAAGTCCCTCTTTCTGTTGCACGCAGCACATATGTCAAAACCAGCTGGATTGGACCACTATATCATATAGCTGCCATAGGAACGATCGGTCGAAAATTAAGTTTTTGTATGGAAAAACATTTTGTCACAAGATATCTTGACCAAAGTCGGCATTTATTAGTTTTACTATGCTCCTCATATATATGCAAAATCCTATTTAGATCGGACCACTATATCATATAGCTGCCATAGGAACGATCGGTCGAAAATTAAGTTTTTGTATGAAAAAACATTTTGTTCATCAAGATATCTTGACCAAACTCGGCATTAACTATTTTCCCTGTGCTTCTTAGATACGGGCAAAGCACTAAAGGCATTATAAAAAGGTTGGGTCTGCAAGGGTATTAGATCTTCGGCGTGCCAAAGATAGCCTTTCTTTCTCGTTTTTAACTATACATATACTAAGGCAAAGCTAAATATATAGTCCACTCGATTGTCCAGTTAACCTTTGTACTCGAACCAGCCTCCTGATCCCAAACAACATCATCATAAATGACAACATAAAAAAGCTGCTCAACTTGATTATAGTGCACACTTACTTACATACATATAATAAGCATCCATCGAACAGTTGACTGACTCGGGCGACTTACATGGAAGATTTTGCGCATAGCCCCAAGGTAAACCGGCTATCAGTTGCCCCAACTTTGGCCGTTTACCGTTGCCTGCACTTGAACTTGGCAGCGGTTTTTGTATCTTTTATTTATACGTATCTATATTTATAGCTAGCCGACAGATTGCTTACAAGTGCAGCTCAGCGAGATTGCACTAAAAATAAATAAATCAATGAATAAAAAAAAAAACAATAAAAAACATTGTGAAAACTTGTCGTCGAGTGAGTTGAGATTTAAATTGAAATGTGCTCGTCGTATTTGTATGCAAATGTGGCCAATCACGTGAATTGGCTCCCAAGTCTTTGGCCACATTTATGCGACAACTTTGCGGAAATGTTTGGTCAAAACAAAAACAAACCAAGTAAGAATGCTCCGCACTATATAGAAATGTATATGCTTAGCAAATAACAACAGAGGAAAATGGCTTTAAGAAGAAATAAGGGGAAGACGAACGGGAGAATGTCAAAGATCAAAGATAAACTAGATTTGCTTCTGGTTCAGCAAGTCCTTCAGTCTCTGAGCTGAATAGATAGATAATAATAGTTGGCCTAATATATACAAATATAGATACTCTTCATTTGCACAACTAGTTTTTAGCCCTTTGACCCGTAACCAATGTACTTATATAGGCAATGTTGTTAATATCAATTATTATGTTTGTTTATTAATTATTTGTTAAGCTAAAATCTTTACTTAAGTATTTAAGTGTTGCCTGAGCAGCAAACAGTCCATCGAATAATATGTTTGTGAAGAAAAATACTCGTACACGTACACGTTAATAGCTAAAGACCTAAATCTACGTCTATATTAAGGTCTGTCACATTCAGGGCGCGGCGCTTTAGTCCTCCAAAAACAGATCCTCGTAAGCGAAACGCTTGAACAGTGTGGCCAGGATGTTTTTCATAATATCCGAAATGGCGACATGCACCGAGGGCTGCAGTTCGCTCCAGACTTCGGACCAGTTCTCGTTCAGGAACTGGTTCAAATTGTTGCCCAACGCTTGGTCGCCATTGAAGAGATTGGTCAGCTTTATGTTCATTCTGGCAAGGATCACACAATTTGCAGTTAATCGGCTATAACCTTTGATCTGCTCTCAACTTACTTCTGTGGCTCCACGAGCACCTTGAGCTTGTCCACGCTCAGATAGGTGCGTCCGTTGCGCGACTGTGTGCCCGGCTTGAACTTAACCGAAAACTTGGGATTGTGCAGGGTAATATCAGCATCGCCATCGCCGCGTATGGGCAAGATTAGGATACGTCCATCGGCAAGGTACTTGCCACGCAGCACAATCTTGGGGAAGGAGCCGTACATTTCAAACTTGCTGCTGGCCGGATTTGTGCCAAACCCACTGCGTTTGTCAATAATATATAGTCAGATCAATTATAATATATAGCTACAAATATGTCATACTCGGCTACTTACACGGCCCTGTCAAACTTAACACCAGACAAACCCTCCACGTTGACATCGCGGAAGTTGAGCTTCAGGCTCAGCGAGCCGGTGCGTCCATCCGAGATGTCAAAGCGCTTGACCAGGAACGGCTCCACCTGTGGAAAGGCCGCGGGCGCATAGCCCGTGCGCGCATATTGACGGATCAGCCTGTGAGACACATTGATGATGCAGTCGGTGTCGCCATAATGGCAACGGGGCAGCTCAGCAGCTAAAAAGATGCCAAAGCGAAATCAAAACTCATTCGACGCACTGGCACTCGTGCTGGACTCACGGAAATTGGAGGCGCCACTGGCACCTAGTGCCAGGCCGAACAGCAAAGCAGAGCACAGCGACAGGAGCATCTTTATACTATGCGAAACGGACACTTAAAACTCTTTTAACTGAATGCAGAAATTAAATATTTGGCGGCTACGACGCGGGCGCGCTGCTTTCCGCGAACTCCCGACCAAGTTCAATGCTAAACTGTAAATTGGCTCTGGACAAACGCAGCCATTTATAGACTTTTTTTCAGAGCTCGCTCTGAAGCGACCACCGGTCAGATTCAGCCAATACATTAAATAGTTTATTCATTCTTAGCTTGTCTCGCTTCGCATTGCTTTTTTTTTGTTTTGTTTTGTTTTTTTGTTGTTGTCGTTGTCGTTGCGGATTTTGGCTTCGGGCTTCTCATCGTCATGATAGAGAATTCGCAGTTCGACGCGCTGGCGACGACAACAACAACAACAACAAGAAGAAGAACAACAACAACAACAATAGCAACGATGACAAGAATATTAATAATTAATATTATTAACAGGTCCCGCAGTGTCATAAGAACAAACAAAACAGCGACAAAATCAAAAGTGATTTTATACATTTTAATGCCCGTTTCGCTGGCTAGTTTTAAATGTCTTTAATGGCATTAGTAGTTAACGCCGAACTGCTAATACCCTGCTTTTACAAGAGAGAGAACAACAAAATTGTCACACTATGAATAACCATCATTTAAAACAGGCGGCTTTTTATCAAATCCTATCAATTATATTCGATTGTTTAATGTACTTTTTTTTGACATCCATATTGAGGCTAAAGCGTAGACCACAATTAAGTATAATTAAATTAGTTAAATAATTATACATTAAATCGATTTATCTTATTTTCTAAACTTTTAGTGTCTTTTTAGAGAAGACTCTATGGAAATATTTAATGTCAGAAATTCAATGGCAAATAAATTAAATGGTCGGTAAAAAACTATACAATACTTACAATTTTTAGAAATTATTAATAAAGCAAATTACCGTGCGTTGTTTATGCAACTTTTATGTAAAATTAATTTTGCACTTATTAATTTCAATTAAATTGTTCACAATTACAGCTACCTTATTAAAAAGACTCAACATGTTTGATATACATGTTATTGAATACCAATATACCGATTGTTATATATATGTGCATGAAGATCTATAAATGTCAATATTATTGTCTGCCTTTTGCATTGTTCTTAACCATGGCAATGACAAAACACAAATAAATCACATACTATATAAATATAAATATATAGATATA